ATATATATGGCTCTAGCAAAAGAATATGAGAAGAACTTAGAATGGAGTACTGACTAGAAAGTAAGTAGCTAGTGGAAAAAGGCCTGAAAGCATGTACTCCAGCCCAAGTACAGTGGTACCCCTAGGTAAAGGAGACTTTCAGTGTATCAGTTAAATTTTGAATTTGTAGTAGGAGTGCCTTTATTGTTTAACTAAAGGGTTGAAAAAGTAAGTCTGCAGGAAAATCACCTTTTTTGTTCCTCCTGAGAACATAGAAGGATAGAAGCACCAGATAAGTAGTCAGATCTTAGCTGTTGGTTGGAGACCGATGGAGTCTTCTGCAGATGAGCCAAGAGCCTTCGTCTCTTCTCAGACCAAACACTCAACTAAGGGACTAAGGGACCAAACACTCAACTAAGGGACTGACTTAGGAATTAAGAACAGTTTACCTGCCCCGTGCTCTACAGATAACCACACTCTAATTACCTTGCTACTGTTTTGTTGTGACTTCTGTATGTAAAAGATTATTTTGGTTTTGAAAATGACCTTAACATATGAATACTAATATTTAGTTCAAGCTTTCAGTGCAGTTTACAAATCTTTTTTCCAATCTAGCAGATTTTAAGGGGACTGTTAGTCCATGTTTGATACCACTCGTAAAAGGAGTTATGTAATTTTCAGTGTTACAAGTTGCATTAAAAAATTTGTTTTAGGGGCGCCTGGGTGGCTCAGTCGTTACGCATCTGCCTTTGGCTCAGGTCATGATCCCAGGGTCTTGGGATTGAACCCCGCATCGGGCTCCCTGTTCGGCGGGAAGCCTGCTTCTCCCTCTCCCACTCCCCCTGCTTGTGTTCCCTCTCTTGCTGTGTCTCTCTCTGTCCAATAAATAAATAAAATCTTTAATTTATTTATTTGACAGAGAGATAGAGAGAGAGCACAAGTAGGCAGAGTGGCAGGCAGAGGGAGAAGGAGAAGCAGGCTCCCCATGAGCAGGGAGCCCGATGTGGGGCTGGATCCCAGGACCCTGGGATCATGACGTGAGCCGAAGGCAGACGCTTAACCGACTGAGCCACCCAGGCGCCCCTGCATTTTAAATTTTAATATGTTTATTTTCCTTTTTAAGTTGTATGGTGTTCAGGTTATGGAACTTGCCAAAAACTCAGATCTAATAACTTTTAAATGGAGTAAGTTTTAAGTTTACATGTTCTAATACTGTTAATGGCCTTACTAAAACTTCCGGTTAAAATAAGGGTAAATCCACCAATAACTCCATCACACATCTGAAACTGAACCAAATGACTGACCTGTTAGTTCTAATGGGTCAATATTTCTAAAAGAATACATACTCGGTGTATGAGGTATATGTAGAATCTTTGTTTCCTGAAGATTAAAATATTCAAGGACTGAGGCCCTTACTTATTTCTGACAGTAAAGCTTCCCGAACTTAATAAAGGCACTAGGCGTCTTGGAACAGTTTTGAGGCAGCTTGCCAGGGGTTTCGATGCTTCCTCCTGCACGGCCAGAGTTGTCACAACAGCTGCTGGCTGGAAAGCCGGCCGAGGGTCCTCTCAGTGGGACATCTCACCGCCCTGCTCTCGTTGGTTTTCGTTAGCCGGCACCGAACCTTCTGGGTGGGGCCCCATTCTGGCTCTGGCTCTCCTTGATCAATCAGATTTACCTGATCCAGGGGCAGAGCGCAGGTCAGGTTACTGGGAGGCAGCCCTGTCTGCTCACATACGGCCTGTGGTTCCTGTGGTACCAAAGCGGCAGAGGTGAGTGCTTGTAACGCGGCCATAAAACCAAACACTCACTGTCGGGCCCTTTCCTGAGAAATTGTGTGAACTCCTTTATCCCACCTATTTATTACTCCGTCGTCTTGTAAGTTCTTTTAGTCTGTTAGAGTCACTTCTCCTTGGATATTCACGTGACATCCTTTGCGTTCCTCGTGGCTTTGACGGACTTTGTGGTTGTGGTTCTTACGTCACGACAGTGATCTGTTCCGTTAGTTGTTTTGTTTTTCAAATACGATTATGCTGAATGTGTGGGACAGCTTGCCCCACCCCCTCTCTCCCCACGCAGGGTATCGTCGACTTCTCCACGTTGGTACATTCTTCTCGTTTTAACAGCTGTATGATACTCAGTCTTACGGAGAGACCATGAACTTAAGTCTGTGGTTTGGTTGTCTCCGTTTCTTAGCAGCTGTAAATGATAACAGAGTGAACATCTTCGTAGGTATGTTTTAGCACTGTTATCCTTATAAGTAAAAGATTCCAAGAAGTGGAATTGCTGGGTCCAAGAATAGCTATTTTAAAATATTCATAGTGATTACTAGGATGATTCCCGTCTCCTACCTGTGGACATTCCGGTGTCTTCCAGCCCTCTGCCACTGGGAACTGCTACGTGTCTCTCTCTCACCCAGGTGACCCCCTTCGTTTCCACGCCCACTACATTGCTCAGTGCTGGGCTCCGGGGGACCCCATTCCACTGCAGGATCTGGTTTCTGCGGGCCGCCTGGGAACCAGCGTCAGAAAGACGCTGCTGCTGTGTTCTCCTCAGCCTGACGGGAAGGTGGTCTATACCTCCTTGCAGTGGACCAGCCTGCAGTGACTCCAGAGACCCGTGCGGATGTGGCTGCCTCTGTGGACAGAGCCTTTCTAGATGGCCCCAAGCTCGTCTCTGCATACGGGATGCTGCAGACCCTCCTGCCTCTCTCTGCGGTTAGGTTTTGACTCCGGATTTATAAACACTACATCCTTATTTCTCTCCCTGTTTCAAAGCACTTACTGGCTGTGATGTTTTTGTAGTTACCTGTTTCCAAATTGTGAGCTTCTTGAGGGTAAAGCCTGGGTTTGATTCATCTCCAGTTTCTACAGGGCTTAGGCCTCAAGAGGTCTCAGTAAACTTGTTGAATAAACGTGGAGTCTGTGATTTGAATCCTGATGACAATCCTGGGAGGTGTGAGTGTTTGCATTTGCTTATACAGATGAGGGAAAGGCTTGGAGAAGGTCACACCTCTAGTAGGTAGCCAGGCAGGCTGGGATTTAAAGCCTGGTCTTTCTGAGTCCAAGGTCTGCGCTCTTCCCACCACACTAAACTTCCTTTTGAGAAGATTTTCACAAAGCATTTCAGGTGCACACAAAGGCATAAATCAAAGTAACATGTGAAGAGAAGGAAGGACGTGAGTGTTGCAGTTTCAGGACGGGTTTCGGGTGGGGAGGGGAATGTCAGGGAGGACTCCTTGGGGCTTGTGGAATACTGGTGGTGGTCTTTTTCTTGGCCTGGGTGGTGTTTATTCAGGTGTGTAGAATTATTTTTTATACCATACATTTATGGTCCAGATCCTTTTCTTATACATATATTCTATTAAAAGCTCAAACACATATAAATAAAATACAAATTTGTGAGATGATTCATATAGCTGCCTTTCTGCTTAAGAAATTATTTGAACATTGGGGCGACTGGGTGGCTCAGTCGTTAGGCATCTGCCTTCGGCTCAGGTCATGATCCCAGGGTCCTAGGATCGAGCCCCGCATTGGGCTCCCTGCTCGGTGGGAATCCTGCTTCTCCCTCTCCCTCTGCCTGCCTCTCTGCCTACTTGTGCTCTCTATCAAATAAATAAATAAAATCTTTAAAAAAAATCTATTAAAAAATTATTTGAACATTATCAGTACTACCAACATTTATATGTATATTTAAAAAATGTGTAGTTTTGTCACATAGATTTTGCTACCGAAATACAGTCACATGGTAATGATTCTGGGGCTGAAAGTGTCTATCTCTAGTTTCTCGATTTCTGTGGCGCCAGTTTCTTCTTTCTTTCCTACCTTTCTCAGTAAACAAATTTGCTAGAACTTCAATTTCCTGTAAGCTTAGATTAATTTAAAACAGGACACCAACCCCTGCCCAGTTAACACTGTTCTTTGTGCCTCTTTGGTAACTGGCTTGTAAATATATTCTCCAGGCTCTCTCTTCTTTACAACAGAGTTCTTAGCTGACTCAGTACTTCTGTCTTGAGTCTTCCTCAAAAATTCCTCATTAAAAAACTTGTGGATGGGGGGACTCCTGGGTGGCTCAGTCATGAAGCATCTGCCTTCGGCTTGGGTCATGATCCCAGGGTCCTGGGATGAAGCCCCACATCGGTCTTCCTGCTCAGCAGGGAGTCTGCTTCTCCTTCTCGCTCTCCCTCTGTGCTCTCTCCCCCTCTCTCTCTCAAATAAATAAATAAAATCTGAAAAAAGAACGAAAAGCAAAAAACAAAACTTGTGGGTGCCTGGTGAGCTCAGTCAGTGGAATGTGCAATTCTTGATCTCAGGGTCGCAAGTTCAAACCCCACGTTGGTCTAGAGCTTACTTAAAAAAAAACTTGTAAGGATGTCCAACATGCACACACAAAAAAGGTGCCTGGGTGGCTCGGTTGGTTAAGCGTCTGTCTTCGGCTCAGGACATGATCCCAGAGTCCTGGGATCGAGCCCAGTGTCGGGCCCTCTGCTTAGCGGGGAGCCTGCTTCTCCCTCTCCCTTAGCCCTTCTCCCTGCTCATGCGCTCTTGCCCTCTTTCCTTCTCAAATAAATAAATAAAATCTTTAAAAAAAATGCAGATACAGACAATACACCCTTTACAAAAATTAACTCAAGGGCATCGTAGATCTCAGGATAAAATGCAGGGCTATTCAACGCATAGGAGATAATAGGAGAAAACCTAGATGACTGACACTTCAGACACAACACCAAAGGTGGGGCCGATGAAAGAATTGATAAGCTGGACTTCATTAAAATTAAAAACAACATATTGCAAAAGACACAGCTGATAAAGGACTGCTGTCCAAAAAATATAAATAATTCTTAAAACTCAACAACAAGAAACAACCTGACCAGGGGCACTTAAATGGCTCAGTTGGTTAAGCACCCAACTCTTAATTTCTTTTTTTTTTTTTAAGTAGGCTCCATTCATGGAGCCCAATACAGGGCTTGACCTCACAACCCTGAGATCAAGACCGGAGCTGAGATCAAGAGTGAGCTGCTCAACTGTCTGAGCCACCCAGGCACCCTAAGCATCCAATTCTTTTTTTTAAAAGATCTTATTTATTTGAGAGAGAGAGAATGAGAGAGAGAACACATGAGAGGGGGAGGGTCAGAGGGAGAAGCAGACTCCCTACCGAGCAGGGAGCCCTATGCGGGACTCGATCCTGGGATTCCAGGATCATGACCTGAGCTGAAGGCAGTCGCTTAACCAACTGAGCCACCCAGGCGCCCTAAGCATCCGATTCTTGATCTCAGCTTACGTCTTGATCTCAAGGTCTTGAGTTCAAGCCCTACTTAAAAACAAAACAACAACCTGACCCCCCCCACCCCAAAAATAGGCCTAAAACCTTAACAGACACCTCACTGAAGGAGTTCTGCAGCTGGCAAGTAAGCACGTGAGAAGATGCTCCACATCCTGTGCCATCTGAGACATGCAAATTAAAGCAACAGGAGATAGAACTACACACCTATTAGAATGGCCAAAATCCAGAACGCCAACAGCGCCAAATGCTGGTGAGACATGGAGCAACAGGAACCCTCATTCATTGCTGGTGGGAACACAAAATGGCACAGCCACTTAGGAAGACAGTCTGGAGATTTCTCATAAAACTGAATGTACTCTGGGGGCGCCTGGGTGGCTCAGTCGTTGAGCGTCTGCCTTCGGCTCAGGTCATGATCTCAGGGTCCTGGGATCGAGCCCCGCGTCGGGCTCCCTGCTCAGCGGGGAGTCTGCTTCTCCCTCTCCCACTCCCCTTGCTTGTGT